ATATTTATGACTATTGTTATAGATTATTAACAGAGGAGATGCATCTTTTATTATATTTATGACTATTGTTATAGATTATTAACAGAAGAGATGCATCTTTTATTATATTTATGACTATTGTTATAGATTATTAACAGAGGAGATGCATCTTTTATTATATTTATGACTATTGTAATAGATTATTAACAGAAGAGATGCATCTTTTATTATATTTATGACTATTGTTATAGATTATTAACAGAAGAGATGCATCTTTTATTATATTTATGACTATTGTTATAGATTATTAACAGAGGAGATGCATCTTTTATTATATTTATGACTATTGTTATAGATTATTAACAGAAGAGATGCATCTTTTATTATATTTATGACTAATGTTATAGATTATTTACAGAGGAGATGCATCTTTTATTATATTTATGACTAATGTTATAGATTATTAACAGAAGAGATGCATCTTTTATTATATTTATGACTATTGTTATAGATTATTAACAGAAGAGATGCATCTTTTATTATATTTATGACTAATGTTATAGATTATTAACAGAAGAGATGCATCTTTTATTATATTTATGACTATTGTTATAGATGATTAACAGAAGAGATGCATCTTTTATTATATTTATGACTATTGTTATAGATTATTAACAGAAGAGATGCATCTTTTATTATATTTATGACTATTGTTATAGATTATTAACAGAAGAGATACATCCTGATGTTAATATAACTGATGGTGTTGATGTTGTTCCTAGTCATCTACTTATTTTAAAAGCACGGTTAGTGTACCTCCTTATATCTTACAGTTACAATGAAAGTCAATTAATCTTATAGCAAACTGCATACTGTGACTTTTTCTTACATATTTTCACTGATTGACTTTATGTGCAAAATTTGTTCGGATATATAAGTTTTTATGAATTACATGTATATAAATCTTAATTTGCTTGTTTAAGGTCATATGCTGAAACACAAATCCATATCTTAGGGGTAGATTTATTATCAGAGCTTTACCAACTGTGACCACTGACCACAACTCTATAACACTTTTGATTTTTCAGAGCAAAAAGATTATTTGAAATTGTAAAAATAGATTCAGACAAATATGATTCTATCAATAAAGTCAACATTCCTTGGTCAAATTGCAGGAGACTTGAAGATTTTGTCAAGTAAGTTTCATCCCTTATGTGACACAACTTTGCTTTATCTGACCACAGAAAATTGACATTATCCCATGTAGCTGTCTGTAGCTATGGGCATCCATGTTAGATATATTCGGATGTGGCCTAGACAACGGACAGGCAACTAAATTTGAAAAAAATGAAAGTGAAATATTCAAGCAATTCTCTGCATTTTATTGTCTCATAAGTAGGTATGAAATTATTTTGAAAGAA